ATCTGCCCATATTTATCTTCTAGAGTCTGTTGTAGCTATCAGGGATTAGCTAGGAATGTTACCTGTTATTAGAGTGTCCTGATATTCCTCCCACCTATTTTTCCTTGACTATTCTTGGTGAAAGAGAGTCAAGCAAATAACAATTTCCACATCTGGGAATTCACCTCAGGAGGAGTTACAAGAAAATAAATAAATCTCCACCAGTAATGCTAAGCAAAAGTCACAGGAAAAAACATGCTTTAAAATTTTGGAAATCACTTTGAGTGCTCTGTTTCCCCACAAAAGGAAATTCCTTGAATTCCAAAGGGAAACTTTCTCAAAAGCATCCTCCAGGGCCACATGGTGAGAGACTTCTCCTGGGCTGTGCAAGGAAAGGAAGTCCTTCACAGTGGCACCAAACTCCTCATCTCATGGATGTACCTCTTTGTGCAGCTTGGGGCCTTCTGTGCACAACACCTCCTGTGCACTTCCTGAGTTTCTAGTTGTAGGGAGATCTCAGGGTTTGTTATCCACAGGCAGGACAGGGACAATTGGTCTTGTCCTTTCTGAGCCCTCTCCCATTCCTTCCAGTCAAGCAAAACTCAGCAGCTCAGACCTTTGCACCCAGATGCTGGGGTCAGCAGGCAGCTCAGAGCATTTTCCTGGCTCCAGCCCTCTCTGCCCCCGTTCCTGGAGCCTTCTGTCCTGCCCTGTCCATCTCATCCCTCAAAGTCCAGACCAGAGAGGAATGGGTGCTTGTTGGCAGCACCCAGATCTTGCTTTCACTGCAGAACTCACCAGCACAAAAGCTTGGAGAAAATGGAAAGCAAAAAGAAAACAGAAAACAAAAAACAAACTTGGCCTTCTCAAACCCATTCCTTCTGAAACCAGGGCATGGTGAGGGCACGGTGCAGTGCTGACTCATATAGGGCAAATAATTGTATGTATTGTGATACATCAACTAAACATAGGCCTGCAAACATCAAAAAGTATGCAGCCGTGCTTTCCCTTTTGAAAAGGGAATTTGAGGTTTCTAGAATGCCAAAAAAAAATCAACTTTTTTTTTTTTTTTAATATTTGCAACTCCATTTTCAGTCAACATAAACATTTCCTCAAATTTTAAAATGAAATGTATTGAGTTGCAATCAGACATGCAACTCAAAAATCTGATCATGTCTCTTCACCAGACTTACATAAGCTCTTTATTACCAGAGAAAATCAGCCCCCGCTTCACAGCTACGCCTTATTCATGTCACTGCCTTTTGGCAGTGCATACATCTGTGAACAATTATTTTCATGGATGAAATACGGGAGTTGTAAAATTTCACCAGAAATCTCTGATGAACACCTGAGAGCTCACTGAGAATTGCAGCCACTGCCATTGAACCAAACTGATGCATCAGTGTCACAGAAACAGGGTCACATATCCCACCAGTTTAATGGATTTGTTGCTCTTTTATGTTTTAGTAAGAAAATTTTAAACATTAAAATAAGTTTTGTTAGTTACAGATATTAACTGTATCTTATGAGAGCTGCTCCGAAAGTAATGCCTCCTATTCTATTCTGTTGGCCCACAACATCAGAGGTGGTATGTTGGTGGGATGGCAGTAGAGGCTGAACCTTCCCATCATATCCCACTACATTTTGTTGCCATGTGACAGATGGCAGCAGATGGGCATTCTGACAGAATGATGTCTGACATGGAAGTGTGTATGAAGCAAAGGTGTGGCACTGAATTCCTTGAATGCAGGAAAAATGGCACCTACTGACATTAACTGATGCTTGCTGAATGTTTACAGAGACCAAACAGTGGACGTAAGCACAGTGAGGGGGTAGGTAGTGTATTTCAGCAGTAGCAACAGTGGGTCACCTCTGCTCATGCAGATTTTTACAAGCATAGCATGCAGGCTCTTATTCATCACCAGCAAAAATGCACAACTAATGGTGTTGACAATATTGAAAAATAGTGCGTTTAGCTGAGCATCTCCTCTATCAAACAGTGTTACTGTGCTCTTTGTATCTGTTGGTAGTTTCCACGGAAATAAAGAGCAGGCATTACTTTCAGAGCAACCTACATATATGCAGCCCTAGATAATTCCTCTTCACTCAGTGTGGCCCAGCAAGCCAAAAAATTGGGCACCTATCCCCCAGGCAGTGCAGCTGTCTACATGCAGGTGCTCCAGAGTTGGGTGCTTCCTTGCTTCTCTGTCAGGCTGTGGCTAACCTCTGGCTTCCTGCATTTCCCTGGAGAAATATTTTCTCATCTGCACTGAATGGTAAACTTCAGTGAGAGAAATGAAAATTGACTGCGCCGTTCTGGAGCTCTGTTTGTACTAAAATAAAAAAGCATAAGCTGGGATGAAGGCAGCATCTGCCATGCAGGAGAAGTGGCCTGTTCCAGCACAAGCTCTCACCCGCTGGAAGACAGTAAAGACTGCAGCAAAACATCAGTGGCCATTGGCTGCCCCTCATCAGCTCCAGCAGCAGGAATGACTTCAGCAAGAACTATGAGATGTGCCAAAGATGATGAGAGAGTTGGAGGTGATGCATCCATGTTACAGCCGCTTGGAGGGTTAAGATCAAACACGCAGTGCATAAATCACATGCAACCATGTGTACACTGTGACTTGCCCCAATTTTATTTCCAAAAGCAAAGATGTGGTGCTTATTGCTGATCCCTGCTCAGCTGTTTCTCTGGTACAGCTCCTCAGTGAGGAGTATGAGGGCTCTGAGAAACAAAGTGAGGCAGCACACACTGGCTCACTTCACTCTCCATCCCCTCCTAGAGAAAGAACTGGCATGAAGTTTACTCTCTGCTCCATCACATGGAGTCATTAAAAAACAAATTAAAAAAAAACAAAACAAAACCAAACCTAAGAAACTGTTGTAATTAGAAAATGAAGTGATGAAACCAGAGAACTAACAGGAATGACTAAGAGACAAAACAGCAGCTACTCCCAGCAAAAAGCACAAAGTATTTCAGTAAAGAAATAGCAGGACAAGGAACTACAACCATCGTCCCTCTACCAAAGAAAGACCCCAGGCTGGGGTGGGCAGCAATAAGAAATTTCCCTGAGAACTGATCCATTCAGGAAGCTCAGCTTTAATGCTATTCCCACTTCTTTGAGTGTGACAGCCTTTCCTGTGGCAACAGCACCCTCCAGCTGCCACCTCTACTATACAGCCTCACATGCCCAACTCAAGACCCTTCAGAGTTCCTAAGGGTGGTGATCAGAAGAAAGTATCTAACTGCACAATGAAGTACTCCTCAAGATTGAGGGTCTGAAGAAAACATCAAAAGCTGCAGGATGAAGCACTCCTCTGACCTCTAACCTCAACCTCTTCTCTTTCAGTTTAAAGCCATCATGTGTAAAGTCTGTCTTTTTCGTGCTTATGAACTCCCCTCACACTGCCATGAAGTCTCCTCAAATCCTTCTCTTCTCCAAGCTAAACAAGCTAAACCTCCCTCAACCTTTCTTCATAGAAGAGATGTTCCAGCCCTCTGATCATCTTTGTGGTTCTCCTCTGAATCTGTTCCAAAAGCTCCACATCCTTCCTGAGCCGGGGGCCGAAGACTTGAGTACAATACTCCAGATGGGGCCTTATGAGGGCATCGTAGAGAGACAATCACCTCTCTCACCCTGCTGCTACCCCTCTTCTGATGCAGTCCAGAAGACCAGCAGTAATTGCGCACCGCTGGCTCATGTTAAGTTTTTCATCTACCAGGACCCACTAAGTTCTTCCTGGCAGGGTTGATCTCGAGGAGTTCTTCTCCCACTCTGTACACGTATCAGGGATCACCCTGACCCACCTGTATCATACACAGCCTCATGAGGCAGTCACTGACTCGTTCTTCTTTTACCATAGGAAGAATTTTGTACACCAGCAACGTTCCAACTGGAACAAAAACAAGATTCCACAGGGTTTATATCAATCATTCTTACTTAGAACAACTCTGAGACAGACACGAGATCAACAACAGCAGGTGCTTTTAAAAAAAAATGAAATTATCATTCCTTATGTTCTAGCTCAATCACAATCCAAAATTCAAAGAATTCCAACACTACTGAAAAAAAAAAGTCTAGCCTGCATTGCACAATTGTAAAGGACATGTGATTGCAATAACTCTTTTAATATAGTTAGCAATAGACAGGTGGAATTTGCCCCTGAACAAAAGAAATTGTGTAGATTTCTTTCCCATACTTACAAAAATACTTGCATAAGGATCCTTCCATGTAAGATAAGATTCTTCAAGAATCATTCACTTTCTTAAACTTCTGTTTTTTTTTTAACTAATGAACACAGAAACAATCTGTAGAATTTGTTTTCATCTGAAGTCTTGAGAAGACTAAAATTGCTAGTAGGTGTAAACAAGCTAAAAGCAACACAAGACTAAGAGAGACCTTCTTGTTCTCATTGTACATATACAGCAAAATGGACTGGACAAGTATTTCTGATTAAAATTAACTGTTTTGTTATAGGATTTGCTCCATCTCAAAGTCTGCAGTTGTGACAGGGACAGTTCTAGATAGGCTAAAATTTGTGAAACTACTTCAGTGGCACACGGATGACAATTTTTTTTGTTTAATATTTTATACTTATGGGCACTGTACAGTTTCTTCAACTTTAGGAAGCATCATCCTCGTATGGAACAGAGCACTGCAGAGAACAGGACTGCAAAAGGCAGAAGAAAAGGCCTTTTTCATTCAGCTTTTTTAAAGGAATGCACAGCCAAACCACATTTTGTGGCAGCTGAATATACACCAATAGAAAAGCAAAACAAAACACACCACTATTTCAACGTAGCTCTGAGACAATTCTAACAAGTTACAACATTTTCCTGTTATTGAGCTGTAGTAATTTCCTCAAGACTGAAACAATCCAATCTGAGATTCTGTAAGTAACTTTATGAAGGAATGTATGTTTACTGCTATCAGTCTAAAGTAACAACTTGTTTTATTTAAATTATGATAAACTTGTTTTATTTAAATTATGATAGTTGTAGAAGTATCAGTTTCTTGTTAAGGTCTGACCATCTCATTTAGCCATACTTCTCTCTTCTGGGTTTTATTATAACCATTTTACCTTTTCTTGTAACTTGCTGCTGTGATTTTGGTTTTGTTTCAGGCGCATTAATGGGGAGGAAGAAGCACTTTTTGCATTCATTTTTTCTGTTACTTCTCCACCCACACTATTTTCTATTGCAGTCCTTGATTAAGCTGCTTCACCCAGGTGATTCCCCAAAGCTCTACAGTTCATATGCAGAAAATTTATAATTCTACAGAGAAGTCTGCTAGTTGCACAGTTTGAATAGCCTTAATTGACATGGATCGTTAATTTTCAGTATTCAGTCAAAGGCTTTTTTGCACTTGATCTTTGCCTCATTAGGCGTAGATGAGGTAAACTATTTTTTAATTTCAATTGAGGCAGAAATACAGACAGTAAGAGAGACAAAGTCAGTGCACGTGCTATATTTTGCACTCTTTGCTATTCCAAATGCTCATTTAGAAACAGGAACTTTTCATTAATGTAGGCACCCCTTTCATTCCTTATGTGTTATTGTCTTACATCTCAGACTGGCAAGCAAAGCCTCAAGGTTCATCTAGAGGTTTCAGAGCAACCATAACAGTGTTAACCCATAGCTTTAAATTTAATTTATCACGTTTTCTATTAACAACCATGGCTTAAAACATTTGATGACATACTTTAGTTTCATTTTAGTTTTTAAATTCTGGAAATTCCTCCCAAAGCAGTATTAGTATATTTACAGAATAAATTCCAGGCAGAGAGAATTAGGCTATATCTCACTCCACTGAATTTTAGTGCATACCTGACAGACTGAAAACAAAGGAGAACTTGGCATTTAGTCTCTTGTTAACTGAGAGGTCTTACCTGTATCACGAACTGAGTACTTTCACTCAACATTCAAATATCTTGCAGTTAAAATATTCTCCATCTAGAAAAATAAAAACATACACTGAGATCAAAAGAAAATAAGAGGAAAATACTCCTGAACAGCTTCATCCTACCCTTATACAATACCTTTGACATTACAATTTTTTTTTCAGTCCCAGAGTATCAGTAGTAAATCTTAAGCTATCACACAAACCATGAATCATATGCACACTTGCTTTTGTGATTACACACCTCATTATGAGCCTCCCGTGACAAAAAGCTATTTCAGTTTTCCAAATGCTAATATCTCCTTTGAGCAGCTTAGACAGCCATTCACAGGATAACATTACAATAATGAACGTTTCTACTTGAGGAAGATTAAGGTCACAGAACTGATCTGACGCCGTATATATCACCTAGGTCCTTAGCAAACAGAAACGGAACGGTTGCCCATCGTGAGCATTTGTATTTTCATTATTTTTAAGAGAAACTGCAGTCTCACTTTGCAAGTTACTATTGTGTATCCAAAATTAGCTCCAAACCAATTTGCAGTAACATCCAATTTATTCTCAGTAACTTTATGAGGGCTCTGCAAGAAAGATTACGTAGTCAGAATACAGATCTGAATAGCAGTTTGCTTTGATGACACTCAATCTCTTCAAGCAAAGATATAACAGTATAAAAATGATTTAAAAACATAAGACTGCAAAAGCATATTAAAGAGACAGGAAACTACTACAAATATCTGCTTCTTCTGAAGCCCTAGAAAACAGTATTTTTCTTCATGCTGGGAATATGCTGCAGAAAAGTGATCAGCTGGAACACGTACTCCCAGAAGTTTACCCGCAGAGAGCATTTCATCACCCAACTAAAATGCTCAAAATGCTTTTGGATATCTATTATTCAACCATAATTAGGAAAAAATTCACAAAGTCACACAAGAACAGTATCCCTGCTGAATTTCTGTATTATATATTAAAAAACAAAACAAACAACAGCAAGAAAAAACCCTCCTAAATTAACATTGCTTCAATCATCTGCCTAGAAACACATTCAAATTTTTTAACTTAAACTCAGGAAAGCTGTGAACACACTGAAGGCAGTGTGTTCCAATAAAGCCTTTGAAGAAAAAGCACAGAGACACAGTTATGAGGTTTTTTCCCCTCATGGCTTATCGTAAGTTTAATTGTGCAAAAATAGTCGTTTTATTTAAGCTTTTTGGTGAAGAATTTGAACAGGAATGTGTAGTTGAACAGGCATTGTAATTAAAGCAAATACACCATAATTTGTGTGGGGATATCATCAGACATTCAGTACACTTAGATATTCTGAAGTTATTCAGACAACCAGTATTTAACTGCTGTACAGCGAGACAATCAAAGAAGTAAAGCTTAAAAGGAAAGCTAGTAGCTGAGTAATGAAATGTAAAGTTTCAATAACTGAAAAGTAAAACAGTTTAGACAGATTTCCTCGGTGATGGCCAAGAATCAGCCTGTGACACGGCAGGTATGAAGTCTATCTAGTTCCTCTTTATTTAACACAGTACATATTTTTCAGCAAATCTGAAGGCTTTTCTAATGTCAGTATTTAGATGGAGAGATAAAGCATTATAAACCTTTAAAATTGTATTTTGTACAGCCAGACTAATGATGTTGGAGAAGAAATAGCTGAGAAAGTTTTGTTTTACAAAGTCCTACTGCAGCTGACACACAGTAGAATCCCAGAGATCAATCATTTAACTCCACCACTTAAAATAAAAAGTGTGAAATTCACACAAAATGAAAGGTATTGCTGAATCCCTTCACCACCATAAAGCTCTCCCCATACATCACTGAGGAAAAAGTAGTTTTCAAAGCAATTTCTGTTCTTGCACACCCAAATTTTAACACAACCGGATTGCACATTCTTAATGTTATTCAGTGCAGCTACTTTTTGGTCTTAACAAATCCCTGTGCTTCTTTCACAAGTGTTTCAACATCTTCATTATCCTTTTCTTCTGAACTTGGTTCCCAGTCAGAATCTTCATCAGTAGGTTCACACTCCTCTTCCTCATCATCTATGAAGCTGTCATTGAGATCGTATTCATTTGGTTCACCATCGTTATCACTGTCTTCCTCTAAACCCCTTTTTCCTGGAAGGACAAAAATGTAATAATGCATTCATGAATCGTAACCATAAAACTAAAAACTTCATCCAGAAACTACTTAGTTGATCTATCCCAAGACGACAGAGAATCAATTGAAGCATCCTACCTAATTCTGACAATTTCTGGTTAGATTTACAAAAGCTTCGACAAGTTGAACCATCTTCTTTCTCTCTGACATCTGCAGAACTTTATCACCTATCACTAAAGTGTCTGATCACCTCAAGTTTTGCTTATTGGCTTTACGCAGAGTTCCTTTTTACAGTGAAGTCAGAAATGGCTTCAAAGGCAGATCATGCCTGACCGATGTGGTGGCTTTCTATGATGGAGTGACAGCATCAGTGGACAGGGGAAGGGTGATCAACGTCATCTACCTGGACTTCTGCAAAGCCTTTGACATGGTCCCTCACCACATCCTTCTCTCTAAATTGAAGAGGTGTGCATTTGAAGGATGGATTGTTCAGTGGATTAGGAATTGGTTAGCTGGACGCAGCCAAAGGGTTGCGATCAATGGTTCTGTGTTGGGATGGAGGCCAGTCAAGCGGTGTCCCTCAGGGGTTGGTTTTAGGATCAGTGCTCTTCAACATCTTCATCAGTGATATACTCAGTGGCATTGAATGCACCCTCAGCAAGTTTGCAGATAACACCAAACTGAGCAGTGCAGCCAATACAGTGGAAGGAAGGGAAACCAGCCAGACAGACCTGGACAGGCAGGAAAATGGGCCAGTGAAAACTTAATGAAGTTCAACAAGGCCAAGTGCAAGATGTTGCATCTGGGCAATCCAAGTGTTTATACAGACTGGGTGAAGAACCCCTTGAGAGCAGCTCTGTAAAGGACTTGGGGGTCCAGGTGAATGAGAAGGTGGACAAGAAGCTGGACATGAGCCTGCAGTGCGTACTTGCAGCCTGGAAGGCCAACTGTGTTCTGGGCTGCATTAAGAAAGGGGTGGCCAGCAGGGAGAGGGAGGTGATTGTCCCCCTCTACTCAGCTCTTGTGAAGCCCCATTTGCAGTACTGCATCCAGGCCTGGGGCCACCAGTACAAGAAAAACACAGAGCTCTTGGATTGGCTCTAGAAGAGGGCCACTAAGATGATCAGAGGGCTGGAGCACCTCTCCTATGAAGAAAGGTTGCAGGAGGTGAGCTTGTTTAGCCTGGAGAAGAGAAGGCTCAAGGGAGACCTCATTGTGGCCTTTCAGTACTTGAAGGGAGCTATAAACAGGAGGGGGAACAGCTATTTAAGAGGGTGGATAGTGACAGGACAAGGGGGAATGGTTTTAAACCAAGACAAGGAAGCTTTATGTCAGATATGAGGAGGAAGTGATTTTCTGGTATCTAAGCCTTTTCCTCAATGTCATAGCCCATTAAAAACCCCCAGGTATGACATCGACCATTCTGGGCAGATGTAAGGTACTACCCATCTAACAGTCATTTAGTTAATGAAATACAATACTATCAATGCTGCATAACAGCCCAAGGCACGTTTCTGCAGAACTACTATTGAAAAGCTAAGGAATTATGATTACCCTTTATAGCACAGAATACAGTTTATTACAATTTAGCAGAGGGTTGTTAGGATAGTATGGTTAGGTTGCAGTCGGACTTCACAATCTTTAAGGTCTTTTCCAACCTGAGCAATTCTATCATTCTATGAATGTAAAATAAATGTAACTTGCATCTCCAACATACTGTAATTGAGTCCCTATTCTGTCCCCTTCAGGGCACAGACAGTTGTCTGTGACTTACCTGTTGTCTCTAACCATAATTCATAATGATATATCACAGAGCAAAGCTGGTTTCATACAGTTACACGCAAAAAAAAAAAATCACATTTTCTACTACCTCTTCACTATAAGTATCAGACCTCCCCCATTCCCAAACCAGAATTTAAGCTGACTAACATATAGCTTCTTTTTTGAAAGCAAGAACTTCACCGGTTCTAGTCTCTATGATCATATCAATTATTCATGATTTTCAAGAACCACATACAAGCCAAGTCTGGATCTCAGGGTCTGAAAGTTTTTCAGTGTTGCTTTATCAGTGTTTTTCATGAAGTCCCAACCTTTTTTTTTTTTTTTTTTTAAAATCACTGGTATTAACAATGTGAGTTATTTAACCAGATTTAGTGTCTAAGCAAAATAAGACAAAAGAAGAATACACATCACAGACTACATCTATAGCTAAACTATACATCTTCCTTGCCATTTAATCTCTAGCTAACTTGTAGGTGGCTATTTTATCCCTACACTTTCTGCCTTTGGCTATTTTATACTCAAATTCCTCAATGATCTTATATGGCTTTTATTTCCTGTTCACTTATTTCATAAGTGTCAAGTAAAAGACAGCAATCTGCTAGACGACACATCCCACTCTCTCAACCAAGATCCATGCTGGATAGTTTATGCTTTCTTTCTGAACAAGGGTTAAGGAAATGCTAAACACTTCTTTTCCAAGATAAATGTAGTCCACCTGTTTTTTCCCAGTTCACTTAGACTATTTTATTAGGCAATTTTCTAATTTTATGTCTTCAATCTACCTTAAAAACTTACCTCTTTGTGATGAAATTGCCTTCTGCTTTCATAGTATTTCACAATACTCTGTGTTGATGGCAGGCATCAAAGACAAAAAGCCTCTTTTTGTAAGAAACAGATGCTGTTTGCATCACATTCCCAAACTTTTTTGGACGGATAGTCTTGCAGTATTCCTTTATTGCTCAAATGCATTGGCAAATTTACCCATTTAAACCAATTCTGCCATGTGAAGCTCTGTCTTGGCAGCAGCATTGTAGTGGCACTACCATGGCAGCAGTGCATTCTTCTTTCATTTATTAGTAGCTGCAAATCTTCAACAAGTTTATTTTGTTTCCTGGTTTTGATAGACATGTATAACTCATGCTCTACAAGTTTACACTATCTCCCTTTTCCTTGTGTGCCCACAATTTCTCATTAGTTACACTGCATTAATATTCTGATTGTGTTATTCTGCCCTTAGGTCACACACCTCTGAGTAAAATCACATTCAATTCCTCTTAGAATCATAGAATCTTCAAGGTTAGAAAAGACCTTGAAGATCATTCAGTCCAACCATCCACCTATCACCAATATCTCTCACTAAACCATGTCCCTCACTACAACATGTAAACACTTCATGAACACCTCTAGGGATGATGACTCCACCACCTCCCTGGCACACCTTAAGTGTGCCCTTAATAGGGCTGAGTATAGAGCTTTCCCCCCAGACTGTCATTTCCTTTATCTCATCTAAAGATAACCTAACAACAAAGTCTGTTGAGCAATTTTTAATCATTATCTTCCATATGAAGTTATAGGTTTTTTTTTCCCCTCAGCTGTATACCCCAGTCCAGATCACTAATATTTATATTAACCATGGGCATTTCTTAGCAGCCTCAGACCAAAGCTTCAGGTACTCGAGTTGTACACTGTGCGCACAGTGTACAAGACAGAACACCAGTAACTTATGAACTTGGAACCCATCCTCATTTTTCAAATGTAAAACATCAGATTGATTTCTTGTCTGCTTCCAGAAAAGAATAGATATGCTCATTCAGGAAGCTTAACACAAATTGAACTTCAGCACTCTCTTTTCTGAAAAAGCAAGCAGATTTTCACTAAAAATGAAACAACAATGACTTTTTCTTAGGGTAAGCTTTATCAAGCATCTCCAACACTATTAAGTGCCTAAAAACTTAAACATGTGGGTTATGGCCCACACTGATGTATCCATTCACACAATTAGAACATACTCACCATTCTTGGAAGTTCGTTGTCGGGTTCGTCTTTCAGTTACTAAAGAAAAGAAGGTTATTAATAAGGACAGATTACAACCCAGGAGAATTGTCATTCATAGAGGCTGCTACAGTAAGTGACTGACCTCTTAAACACCACAATGATTATGCAGCGCTCTCAAACATAAGAATTCCTCCCTAACACACAGCCCCCAAAAAACTATTTTGTATTGAACGATTGCTGAGAAATTCACCAGGTGACCTTTTCTTGGAACTAAAAACCATTCCTTCCCCAAGAAAAATGTCTTTAAGATTGGTATTTTCAAATCCCAAATTGAAGTATTTAAATATTTTACAGTTATCTCAATAAATTGCTCCTTAATAATGTCATAATTCTAATTCTTTAGGTGAAGTACATTATCATTACATGTCCATAATAGATTTGCTCTGAAGACTTCTTCATAGCACTGGGATTTCAAGTGGAAAAAAAAGTGTCCAATAATCAAAAAGGGATACATGAAGCATCTCTTCGAATTCTTTAAGAACACACAAAATATAAGCAGGGTATCTCCCTGTGTTTTTTGACAGTTACTGAAATATATTCCCTGCTTTCATTTTCTTAATACAGTTCTGAATAGATAGGAGAGATCTGCTAATGTAAGATGCCATATTTATACCGCATTTAATTTATAAATTCATAACCTATTTAATACTCATTAAAAAAATTACTATATTCATGGAAATACTCAGTTGCCACATGGCAACTTCTGTCTGGTTTTTATGCTCTTGTATATTATATGTTTAAAATTGTCTGATGTAACCCAGTTATTCCACATTTTTATATCCATTGTTGGTTTCTATCCCCACATATACAGCCTTAATTATATTGAATAGTTTAGCTTACCTGGAGGTACGGTGTGCTTGTATTCAAGTTTGTGTTGTGGATTTTTCCTGAAAAGAAGAAAACAACAAAAGCGTGATTTGCCTCTGTGCTCAACACATGAACAGCACAGAACTGCATGGTATTTTTTGGATACACACAGATCTGGAGAAGGTGAACAGCCTGAAAGAAGAAATGAACTGATTTGTTAGTTGAATCCTCAACACAAGATTAAGCAGCAACCTCCTCCCTATATTCCCCTCACCTTTGATCTGAAAACTCACTATAAGAAGAAAAAAATAAATCAAATGTCATCATAAAAATGTATAATTGCATGAGAATGATATAATTATACAATCATACAATTCTAGAATTTATTGTTCTCTTTAATACAGTTTTCACACTTAAATCAAGCTATTGTTACAGACTTGCAGAGACTTAGACCTTTTATATCATGCTATTTGTTCTACTGCAAAGAATTCTATGTTACATCTCAGCTACAGTCACAAAAAACATTTTCATTAATCAATATTCATTAAAATAAAAGTTTGTGATCAGTACTTTACTGCAGTGTCTGTGCTTGTAGAATGAAGGTGGAAGAGAAAACAGATTGAGTAAGAGCTCCTATTTCTTATTAAGAAAATAGCTGGTTGGTCAAAATTGAGATAAGTCTTCGAAGTCACATGATGTGCACTGGTTCAACACAGTAAAATCTGATCCAATTATTTACTCTAATGAAAAAATGAAAACAGAATATAACTTCTGGTACATTGAGTACAATGCACATCACAGGTCTGAAACACTCAGGTGTAGCTTCCATATTTTGCAGTGTATGAATACGAATAAAATAGTTTGGGAAATCAAAGAATTTGGAAAGAACTGCTTGTTCTGAAGGATCACACAGAGTGACTACAGGAAGAATCACTCATTTCTGCAGGATGGTATTGCAGTTCAATTTACAATTTTTCACATCTTCTGAAAAAAATAAAAAGTAGCATTAGAACAATGAAAGAAAATGTAAAGTCAACTCGCTCTTGGACTGCCAAGACGTTCCACTCCTCCAAGCTGTGACTACCACAGGTAATTAACACACATCAGTGTTTTCCCCCTCTTCACAATCCCTCTGCAAACAGTTAAGCAACACTAATAAATTTTAACTGAGTGTAATATAACTAGTATTGTGCTTATTTTGTTAGTATACTACAGGCTTTTCTTGGGACTGCCTGCAAATTGTTTCTACTCTATTTTCCATTTTTTTCTGTACAGAAATAAGTTTCTAACTTCCAGAAAACCAGTTCAGTTATCCTAATTTCTGCTTCTGAACAACAATTATGATCCATTATTCAATTATGACACTCCCTTTGGAACCACTTGAAACTTATAGATGAGTCTGCAACTGCAGCTATTGCATATTTTACAAAATATCTTTGCTACAAAAACTGCCTTGTAAAACCAGTTGCTTATTTATGTTTTATTCTTCAAGAAACAGAGTAATATAGACACACTTCAGCTATGTATATACATATATATGTCACAACTTGTGACAAATTCAAGCATTTCAACTTGATTTACAATTCCATAGCTACTGCCATCTTGAAGTACATTACGTATGCATTAAAGTTATGTTTATCTGAGTGAGAAATGGAAATACTGCTTCCTACAACATACTTGGTACAATAACAGAAGGAATTACCTATTTCAGTATTCTATTACTATCACCAGTATCAGACAATTAGATCATAACTTAAGACATAGTGTTTAGATCATTCTCTTGATTACGCTCTCTTCAAATTGTAGCCTACAACAAAAATTATTTGAAAACTCTTCAATCCACATCTGTTGGTAAGTTTAAAGAACTGGCATTGCTTCACAGGTGCCTCATATCCTTTGCCTTTAAATAATTAAACAGATTAAGAACTGATTATCTTACAGGCAAAGATGCTCTCTGCGCTCTGTGTTTTGTTTTTGTATTCAGTACCCACTGCACTGCTGAAATGCACCCTGGCAATTTCACTACTGGTATAAACACAGATTTCTTGTTCTGAAGTACTAAACTCATCCACAACACTTTGTTATATTTCACAGAGAACACATTCTTCAGAATCATCTATGATTTCTGGAAGAGAAAGTGGAAAATGTTTCTGCTCAGACACAAGCTCTATTAACAGCAGCTGTAAGTTTCAATATGCCTGAGCAGAAGTGCTATTTCCTCAAAATATATTTTTCTGTCCATATAGCCAACTATTCAGTAGTCACCTAACAAAAAAAAATGGGTGGTCAAGCATTGTAACAGGCTTCCTACAGAGGTGGTTGATACTCCAGGCCTGCCAGTGTTCAAAAGCCATTTGGGTAATGCCCTTAATAATCTGCTTTAAGTTTTGCTTAGCCCTGTAGTGGTCAGGCAGCAGTACTGATCTCTGCATGTCTCTTCCAACTGAACTATGCTAAGATCTGCCAAATAAATGTTTAAAATCTAAACACTCTGAAGAAAAAATAGAATAAAACAATCTCTCAGAAAATCAGCAGCGCTTAAAAAAAAACTAAACTACAGTAAACCAGAAATTAGATGTTATTGTTGCTACCTGAATTATGCTTTCTAGGAAGTCAAATATTAATTAAAATAGAGATCTTGAATAAAGACTCAAAATATATTTTATCAAAATTTAAACTAAAAGTGACACATCATGAACAACATATGTAGCAATAAATTAGTCTTCCTAAAAAAAGGAGTATGCTACATGGTGAGAAGTTAAAAAGGCTGTTATTGTTTAAAGTTAAAAATCTATGTTATTGAATAGTTTCCAGAAGTTAAGATTCCATGTTTGCTAGGCTGAAATCACTACCAAACATTCTGCACAGACTTTAGTGCTTGGAAGGTAGCAGTCTATCCACAGTAAATTTCAAAAGGCAATGAGACAAGAAAATGAGCCACAATTGCATGCTATACTCAAGATTTAACTCAAGAACTACTCTTTGCTTTTGTGTCATTTTGTGACTGCAGAGAACAGTCTTAAGCTGTAAAGTAAGTAAAGCCATTTCATACGGTGCTTCTTACCTATAGCAAGCAGTTCCATATGGACATTCGGGGCGGTTATCATTGTCATCTTGAGTTACACTATGTGTTTCATAATAATCATCATCATTAGGGTGACTGAACTGCTGAAAGTGAATGGGATTCCTCCTGCAGAAGACAAATACATATATGGAGAATTCACTGTTCCATTTACACTCATTCTTCTGTCATTACATAAGAACAACTTTTTAATGTTTATGCAGCACATAAGACCTAATTTGAGGATAACAGAAGAACATTTTGTCTCAGCAACAGTTAAAACATCTATTTTCCTATCTGCCTTCAGTAACAAGTTTCAAGATCTCCAGCCCATGTACCATCTCCTAGAGTAATCACACAGCACCAGTCCTGCTCAGAAGCTGACTTGCTCAGTTTTGGCTCCCTGTGGAGCACTAGAAGAGTTACAGAAACTCCTACTGCAGCCTCAGCTCGAGTTGGAAGGCTCAACGTATGGAACCAAACCACTGCAGTAACAGACTCTAAGTACACTCGGGGGATAATATATTTGCTTCAAACAACCTGTATCAACTAGTTGTTCTGGTATGTGTACAACTTCTTACTCACTTGAATACTTAAATGCTGTCACATTACTCCAAATGTCTATTGAATAGTTCACTAACAGTGAACAGTTTGCATTGGCTACTGTGACATTTTATTTGAAGTATCACATTACAGTCTGAGCAATGAGGAAATGAAGCTGTACTACAAGACATAACAGCTCTGCACGTGGCTGAATCAGCAATGTAAGCAGTGAGAGCACATCTCTGGCATGAACAGCATTCTGCTCTACAATGCTTACACATGAAGGATCCAAGATGTAGCAAACAAAATGGTTTATTAACTGACCTCTGTGTAACTGCTTCTAGTCAATTGGTTGGAATGCACACAACCCAAGACAAGGGAGCTACAAACACCACTTAAGGAACTTTAAAGCTTTATAAAACTTTTAAGTGATGTTAAAACAAACAGAAAAATGAGTTGTGATTTCAAGACAGATAAAAAATAAACACTACAAAAATGACACAGTTAACACGCTGTTACTGGAAGCACATACATTTTTTTCCTATGATTTCTTTAAGAGATACTATTTCCAGATATAACACTTAAAAGCAAGGAATATGGGATATGTTAACAATTTTTCCAAAGACATCCAGAAAACACTTCAGTGACTTATCATACTAACTTCCTTGAGTACACAAGAACCACAGACAAGCTCTTCAATGAGCTACTTATAAAAAATTACAGCATCCCTTTCACATATTTACAAAGGTGACAGCCTTCTTGTCCTGGTCTTTGCTGTTAGTTTCTGCAAGCTGTAGAATAAATAAATACTATTTCACTAGATATCACTGCAGGGCTGCATTTACTTGTCATTTATTCTACCACAAGTTCTCAGAAAACATCACTTCCTAAATGAAATTCAGGCACTGTGGAGCTGCCTGCTCATTTCCTTTCCCATTTAAAAATAAATGAGATGAAACCAAATCATTTTACTTGCTCTGTTTTCTAAGTGCACAAAACTAACTTATTAACAATATTTGCAAGAATTCAAAATCATTTAAGACATAATTCATCTCCTCAAGGGGATATGGAAGCAACTAATGTTCTGTGAAATCATTTTTCTACTTTTTCCTAGAATAAAAGATGTACTTCATTATTTTCACCAAGGAAAGAATTCCTAATAGCTACCATTTAGACAAGCTATTATATTTTAGAAGATGCACATTTTCTTCCAAAATTTTTCTTCAAACCCTACTTGAGCAACAGAACTTTGATCTTCCTCCTCATGAAAGCCAAATCAAACAAATTCCAAAGGAATAAAGGAAAAGAATAAAGGAAAAGGAAGAAAAAGGAAAGATTCTTGATATATCTTCCAATAGGCTCAGGGCTTCTTTGGACCAGATGATGCTAAATTACATGTTGCCTGTGAAGCATCTTAAACATGTACTTCAGATGCTCAAAACTAGTATAAACATCTTTTATCTTACCTTTACCTGGATAACTTGTGCTTATTCCACTCCTAGGTGCTGTCCAATGATATCTAGCAAAACAAATATAAGCAGAGATGTGCATAGCTTGTACCAACAGCCCTCCTTGCAGAAAATCTAAAGCTTACATGCACATCTCTTCCCTTTTATAAAGGCTTTCATTTGTTTGAAGGCTTTGATATTTATTTTTTCTAGGCACTAGAGGTTTGATCAGTAAGAGCACAACATCTGTTACAATTAAATATACTATGTGAATTGTACTCCTCTAACTACTTACTCCACTTCTGATCAGGTTTTGGCTACCACAGCTTACACAAGGGCCTGATGTATGCTGAGAGAAGCACCAGTAGCTCAAAACAAGAGCAATATGTATGTAATGGGCAGAAGGTAAAGGTTCTAATGCAGCTGTCACCACCTGCAGCAATCACCTTGGTTATCAATCATCTGGCAGCCTCTTCTGAATCCACTAGCTTATAGAAATGACATAGAAAAACCTTCACACTGGAAGGTATAAATGCATGCCCCCAACCAACAAGCTTATGAAAGTGGATCTGGCAGCAGCCAGACTGAGTAAGATTTCGTTGTGTATTGTTCTATACAGTGCTCTTCTTATGATACAATACTTTTTCTCCAAGTATTGCTTCCAAAAGTTCATTTTAGAATCAAGACTTAAAAACAAATGTACACGTGCAGACTCCTATTCCATACCATTTGTAACTAAAATGTGCTCTCTTAATCTTCTGACTTACTGAAGGATTCCTAATATTTGATTCCACTCAACTCACATATGCAGGAAAACTAGTTTGAGATAAAGTAGTAGGAGCAAGACAAATGCTGCATTTGTACTACTGGATCAGCTTAATGGCCTAATAAAATATTTTCATGATAGTGATTCAGGGCAAAAACAGACATGAAAAAGATATATGAAAAGTGGTAATTTGACACAATCATTAACACTGCATCTTTAAGCTTTTGATTTACCCTGCTGTCTGTGGCATTAGACACAATGAAGATACACTCGTGCTAGTTTGTTCTCACTAATGTTCAAGTTTCCTGAATATCACTGGACCCACTGACTGTTTCCTGGATTAGCCTTATCTCTTGCATTCCTGTCTGCACGGAAGTACCTAGAGCTCAAAGACACCTTCTACTACAGTGCTCACTAGCTAGTTTCAAAATCACCACTAGGCTTGCATCTTCTCTTTGATGCAGCAACACATGGTGTGCCAAATCTTTTCTGGGCAGAACTAGCAACAGAACATACACAAATTCGTGATGTTGTGGGACTTCTGTGTAACATCTGTATCTCACAGAAAACTTTTACAACATATCTTCAATCACCAAAAAGAGAGGGAGAACAAAAGAAATGCACTTCACTTGAAATATACCAAAGGAGGGAACCACATAAGGGTTAACATGGAGTTTCTAAGTAATGCTGTGTTGTATTTCTGGGCAGTGAGTGGAAGCTAAATAAGAAACCTGGCCAACTTACAATAAACAATCTTTCATTACATAGGGATGACAGATAAAAAGTATTTTGAACGTTGAAGTCACAAGGCATGCAATTTCTTCCATAACTAAAACTCTTATAAAATTTTTTATCTGCTAATAAAACAAGCCTACAGGGTCTAGGTTGGACCTGTACCACTTATCTCTCTTCTCCTTGCTGATAGTTGTGCCAGGCTGGCATATACAGGTTTGTTAATATATTCTCTTTTTAAAATGGACTTTTGTTTCCTATTTCCTTTATTTCCCTTTCTACTTTATCTTTTAACTTGTTGAAGTATTTCATCCCTTTCTTGGTTGTATTAGCAGCTAACAAGTCCACCCGGCTCTTCCTTTTGTATTTTAAGAAACAAATCACATAAAAAGAATTTTATCAGTCCCATGCTTACCAGAAGATTTTTTCCCCCTAGATCAAATCCTGTCATGACTTCATTGTTTTCTCTTACACAGCTAATAAATTACTTCTCAATTATACACAAGCTTAAGTTTGTTTTAATTTTGCTTTACCTGTAACAGCCTGCTCCATACATGCAAGGTGTCCTCTCATGCTTCATCTTTCTGGAGCTTTCTGAAGCCTCAGCACCTTTGGTTGTATAAGAAATCTCAGTGTCGTGATCCACATCTGCACTGGGCTCATGAACACCTTCCTGGGCACCAGTAGGTGAAGTCCTGTCCCGGGGAGCTTGTTGGCTTGTAGAACAAGTAAGCTGTCCTTTGTTTTCTGATTCCTCAAGTCTATTTGTCTTTCTGGAGATCTGACCTGATGGTTTACATCGTTTACTATGCAGCTGCCTGTCACTTTTTTCCACAGAACTTCCAGCTTTTTTTGTTTCAGTCTTGCCTTTTCTTTCTATGTTTCCCATGGTACTTTCAAGAGAAAATCCAGATGCATTCTGTGGAACAAGGTTACATTTTGAACAACTTGAAAATCTACACTCTACAGAATTAAAAGCATTAAGGTCAAACTCTTCCCTGTGTTGTCACTCCAGTTTCCAAAATCATCTTCTCCACGTCCAATTAGCTGTTACATACAGCTGCCAAATGAAAAGCTTTAGATAAGAACATGCACAGAATACAAAGAAAACCTTATCCTAGAGCTTCCATCCTCAGCCTCAGTTCTTTCACAGGTAAATATGCTCCTCTCCTATCACCTTAGCCTCTAAGTAGTCTAAGGATTTTAGTTTAAATTAAATTTAGATTTAAAGTACTGCTCCTTAAAAATTAAGATGGGTTATACATGTCAGGATACAGCAGACTCTAGAAGAATATACATTACTTTACAAGAATCAATTTTAATATCCAAGTACCAAGATTCATGGGTTATCTATATATAAGAGATATATGGGAATCAATAAGTACAGACCTTGAGCTTAATCTCACCTCTGAGGCATTTGAAATGCTTTAGCTAATGACCTTAAATCATAAAAATCATTAGCTCATCAGGCTAATACTGCAGTTTTGACAAATCCTGCATTTCTAGTTTTAGAATATATACACTTAAAAGTAGTATATACACTTAAAAGAGGAATGCTTCAGAGAAAGATGATACATAACCAGGCTGTAATCTGGAAGTATACCCATACTAAAGCTGAACTACCCTGACACTGTAAAGTAACTATTCAAACATCTCTACAGTTTATTACCTGATTTGCCACCTCCTGTAAATTCATATTTAGTTTACATTGCTGTGTTTGGCACACTTTGAGAATCGACTGGTTGCTTCCTGTTTGATTTTGCTCTTTTCAATGCAAAACTAACAACATATTCACCAAAGCCTGAGGCAACTGTAAACGAGCAGCAATGCTACTAAGAAATGGCAAATTCAGCAGGAATCTCAAGTGATCTTTGCAGCACCATGTTAAGTAAGTCAACTCAGGGTCAGAAACGACTCTTCTGTGACTCCCAACATAAGGCTCAAACAATAGCAATTAAGAAATTCAGTTTTCATGTGCAGAGATGTGACTCGATTACTTTTCCTAACTTGCCACACACTTGGGGCTTTTCACTACTATGTGCCTTACCCTCATTAGATAAAATACGGGAAATTAATTAAATCTGATCAGATCTTGTGATAATTTCTTAAAAGAAGGAAAATACTGTTATTGTGGAAAATCAGACAGCAGCACAGGTTGCATTCATTTCTGGCAAGTGTATGACTGCACTGCCACCTGGCGGCTGGCTGGCACGACAGCTGAGTTAAGGCTTTTTCTCCTAACCTACAACATCAACACTTCAATGTTTCAGTTTTCTGTGACTGGTTTGAGCAAGCAGAAGTGATAATCATTTCCTCCTACAGAGTTCAGGAAGCAATTTCTTTTAGTGTACTTGAAATAAACGCTTACAAAATTATGTAATAGCAGAAAGAAGTGAGGCTTATATAGCCACTAGCATTAACATTTCTAGTCAAGAAAACATTTTCAGATTAAGATATATTACATTATATCAAAACTACCCACAAGTAATAAGCTCAAACTACCCACAATTAAGCTCTAACTCTCCACAAGTAGGTAATTTCAATAACAAAGATTCAAAAACAATCCACAAACATGTTTTACAGCATAAAAAATGAAGCATACAAATGAAAAGTATTTTTCAGATCTTGTAACAGATCCAAGCAGTTCTAATGTTAGAGGCTAAAAACACCAACTTGTTCATTTAGAAATCAGTAAAAGCCTTAGTTTGTTCCCACCAGAATGAGTTTTGAGGATCATTATCAACAACAAACATCTTTTCATTATTAGCAGAACACTATCAGTAAGCATATAATTGCCTAAAAATGCAGTTTTACTTTGACAGACTCATTGCCTAGCCAGACTGAAGACTCTGCTTGCTCACAATCACAGACAATTTTAGATTTCAGATGATTTATTCCCCTCCATTTTTGACTCCTACTGCAACAGCATTACTTTACTCCTCACTATCTTCAAAATGTAGCAGTTGATGGGGTTTCTATGGAACAATCACAGCCAAGATCCCAGGTCTCAAGAAAGAAGCAAGAAACACACTCATTACCAAGTCTCTGAAAGCTTCTTTGTTACAGAGCTGTTCAATGAGCTGGCATTTCAAAAAGAAGCACTGAACACAAACTACAAGCAGAACGCATAGTTAAATTCTAAACCCAGCCGTAAATTATGACATTGCTAACTACATTCTCATTTCTGAAATACTATCATTTTGCTAAGAGCAAAATGTTACCTGTAATGAAGAGGACAGTCGTCTCCTTTCCTCCTCATCTTGCTCTTCATCTTCAAAATTCTCTTTAATTTCTTCAGAAGCTGATCTTTTTCTCTGCAGAATATTTACTTCTGATTTTAAAGACTCCATATTGCTTTTTCCCCTTCCGTGGCTTTTTTTGTTTCTATCACCTTGAAGAAAAAAAAAAAAAGGTCTGGAACACAGCTTTTACTGCAAAACCCTGAATACAGTGGAAATCTAAAGTTACCTGGGTACAAGCCATGAGGGATATCAGTAGATGTGCATGCATGGTTTCAACAACTTTTTCCACTTCCTGTACTCCCAACTGGACTTTGTTTAGAGGAGTAATACTTGTGCTTTTAAATACACGTCAACGTATACTGGATATTGGTATGCAACCATACTACATTACAAACTTACCTCCTCTCATTATAGGCTCAGAAATCCTTGGAACCAGGAGGTCTTTTTCCAGCATCCATGATGGAAGCACCCTTCTCCTCTGAATAGATTTTGACTGTTCACTTTCATCATCATCAGAAAAATGAACCTGGAACAATACTTACTCTGTAATACTTTTTACCAGTTACAAAAGAGAGAGTAAAACTAGAACACAAGTCTGTCATCAGTTAGATCCTTCAAATGTAGTCTGGATTACTACTTTCAGAGAGTGCCCATTGCCTGAAAATGTTAATAGTTTCTATTCACTCAGAGAAGTGACATGTACAGAAGCTTTCATTCAGTACAAAGTTCCTCAGCCCTCTGGAATAAATGTATAAAAGACTGAAGACTGAAAGTTTCATAGAACACCTTTTTTAGGATCTTGCTATGTAGTTTCTAAAAAAAAAAAAAAGATAGGAGTAAATGGGTTTAACAAACAGCAAATGCCTATTTGTCAAAAAACTTTAAAGTTCTGCTAGCATTCTTTGAATTTCTTTCTCCAGAAAGAAATCAACTCTAAACATTGTTTGTAAGAAGTTAAATACACCAAATGTATGTTTAATACACACTCGTTTAAAGAAATACCTTTTAGCAAATAGTGCCAAATTGGTGGTAAGTAAACAATCTAAGAATCCCTACTCCAGTAAAGGCCAACATTTCATTTATTGTACTTAGCTACTAGCTACCATATAATGATGTTGCTCAAAGTGTCCCTTTTAGCAAGCACTATGATGCTTGATAAACAGCAGAAGCTCTAAGGAAAAGTTTATGGAGCCAAAGGAATTTTTCAGACTGTCTGAAGGCAATTTTACTCACAAACAGTAAGAATAACACACAGTGCTTGCTCTAAAAACACAGCTATCTACATGTGTCTGTGAAGATTTTGACAACACACCTCCATCACTGCTGCATGATTTAAATGAACAGGTTGCTAGTACACTTACAGCCAGCTCAAGACATCTGCAATACAATTTATCCAGATACAAAATTTTAGTTTCTCAGGTTGATTGAAAGAACTATCATTTATTCCCCTAGGAATAATTCCCTGTGCAGGCAGTAACTGACTGGAGACTAGAACTTGACACGGTTCTGTAGTACCACATCCAGCTCTAGCACTGTTAGCTCAAAATATTCAAGTAGCAACAGCTATGTTATTTCTGTGTATTTCAGAGAACAAATGACTGTAACATACTTGCCACAAACACAAATCTACAGTGTCAGTTTATATACTTCTGTAGCATATAAGCCAATCAATAAACAAATATATTTTGAGCAGATAACTTGGTCTGCCTGAGTTGATTTCTCAAGAAAAAAAGCAGAAAGACACACATCCATATATACACCAGATTTTACTGTAAAAATATCAAGCACTCACCAGATGTGTGGAAGTAGAGTCATCTCTTCTTGTTTTTGTGCTACCTTGCATCCCAGAGGTGGAACATGCTGGCTCAGGTAACGAAGGACTATGAGATATCTCAACAGGGTGAACACTTACTGCTGCTTCTGCATCAGCCTCTTCATTATTCCTGAGGAAAGAAAATCATTCTTAAGTAGTCAAACCCACCACAAATATGAACACGTACTTCTTTAACACAGAAGCCTATCTGAACTTCTGTTATTAAACTTACCAAGTGAACCTAATGCGCTCTTACATCGATTTTTAGAGGAAATAAAGATGTCTTTCTACCTTCCACTGAATTTTTAAACGAGCAATTTTCCAGTAATTACTGATACCCTACTGTAGTGCTTTAGTTTTTTTTTTTTAAGCTCATTATATATAATATCCATTCCCACAACAAAACTTGAAGTTGTTGCTTGCGATTTGCTACGCTCTAAATCCATTTTTGAATTGTTTACAGTATTAGCTCCCTCCCAAATATAAATTGCTGCATGTTTCTTCATAAGAAACAACACGATCTTTATTCAAATTACATTCATTTACTTCCCACTGTCATCTTTGAACTCAAAACATGTATTTGACTTTCTAGACTTAGTGACTTGAGTTTTTTTTTAATGTACATATCATGCTGCATTGAGGATATTGGCCATTGGTTATATACTAGAACACAGCAAACCATTTTTCTTTCTGAAGTTAACAGCTTTCAGTGATGTGGATGTTGCTTAAGTTTCATTTAAAAGTTTAACCAGTTTAACCAGTTCTCAAATCTAATACTATAATAATACAACCTAATAAATCAAATATTCTAATGAGTGTGCAAGCAAACAAATCTGATGAATTTAAAAAGAAATAGTGTCATGAATTTTGATTTTTCCTCTCCAAATGTTAGAAAATAGTATTCATGATAAGCAAATACCAAGTCGAAATGTCACAAATATAGTTACTTTCAGTTATGGCAGAAATCACATAACATGGATATGTGGATGACTATGGAAGGCACTCAGCATTTGGCAGTGGTACTTAAGACTTCTTCCTTCAGGCAAGTAGTTAACATCATTTCAAACTAATGTGACAGAAAAGGGAACTTCTCATTACATAGGTAAAGCATAATACCAGATGAGTACAGATATAGTTACTGGAGTACCTACATTTATATTCAAGCAATATCAAACCACTCCTTTCACTCTTAAACGCTTTCATGCAATGCTGTTAACGCTGTCCAAGAAGAGGATGTAAACTAAATAACATTGAAGCATGTAGAATACAGAACACCATATTCCCAGAATTGAGACCACTTGTCATATACACCTCCTAGACTTAGTGGTTTCTGGGCATCACCTGTTGGGCCCCTCCGTGAAAAAGGCTCAACTTAATGATTAAAAAAGCTGTTGCTGAGAACAAGATCGTAATTGGCAGATATTGATACCTCTCTGTGCTCTCCACAGGTTGAGCAGAAAGGACCTTGAAGATGTATTTGTCAACCATCAGGGAAAAACTATCACCAAATTTCAATGAGTGCCATTCATGAGCTTCCAATGGTAGCAGCCGGCCGTTCTCAGGAGACTGATAAAAGCATGAATCTACATGAATCTGTGAGACAGAAAGAATAGCTAGCATTAAAAAAGAGCATATATACATAACATGGCTGAACAACACTCACCATGCTCTATCATACAAAGCATATTTGCCATAGGAATAGCTACAGCAATGCTGCAACATCAAAACATTAAAGACAAAAACAGGCATATACACTGGATAGCACAATTAATTGAACTAGTTAGTGAAAAGCTGGTTTGTTATTTTAGTATCAAAAATTGTTTCTTAACATTTCAATCCCACTTGATGCTAAATCAAACAAACAACCCAATGAAACAAAATAAAAAACAAACAAGGTAAAATAAAGCTGTGTGAACTGGTGGGAAGGTAAACTTCAAAACTAGCGGGGAAAACACAGGTAAACATGGTCCTAGCAAGTTTCCAGACCTAGAAATGAGGGCCACAGCTCACATTTGTAGAGTTAGCAGCACGTGGACTGAAGAACTAGGATACAAATGCCATTGGCACACAACTCCTACAACACTCAGCCAAGTCTTCTAAATAAACGAAGCCTGAATCTGAGAGATACCAGCGCAGATAAACCTGTGGTACCAAAGCAGCTCCTCTTGGCCCTCACAGCACTGGTGAGCAAAACAGCCACAACTCTGTTTAACAGAAATAGCAGCATCTATACGTATCTTAAATGTTTTAGCACAGCCTATGCACAAGCTCACTGTAACTATATAAAGACTTGATGAGTTAATTACTGCAAGAACACCTCCAATTTTTAAAAAGCCAAGCGTTTGAGTAAGTTTAAAACTTCCCTCTAACAACAACTGAGTTTATTTGGAAAAGAAGAAAAAAAGACTATTATTTGGGCAGCCTGGTCTAGTGGTTGGTGACTCTGCACATAGCAGGGGGATTGAAAACTAAATGATCATTGTGGTCCCTTTCAAGCCAGGCCATTCTATGATTCTATGATTTGCTGAAGAGCAAAGGTTGTAAATTCATAGAATTTTTCCGAGAAGAACCAGGGGAAATCAGTGAAGGGAACAGATCTCTGTCTTAAAAGCAAAGGCAGCACTATAAAGTAACATACAAAACCTCTACAGTGTTTTATTTGATTCACCCAATCACTATTCTACATGAAAACATTAGTAATGTTACCTGAAGTCAGAACGACACTGTAATGTGAAAGTAAAGGTTATGAACTGAGAGCAAGGAAAACTGAACGCTGTTCTCAAATCAAGTGTGACATCACAAGAAAATCTAAAATAAACTACAGCAGCTGTATTTTGGTTTTATAAAAGTAAATAGAGAGACTGAAGTTACCGGTTTGATGCGAACCTGGCCACCCACCACTTCCAATATGGCATGTTTTCGGGATACTCGCTTATCAGTAATCTGAAAGGGAGATAAAAAACCTATGTGAGATCCATATATTTAAGATCCAATTTTCAGAATCAGAAGCATAAGGAATCCAGCACATCTTAGCAAGCTCTCATTGAAGGCTGCAAATCCGCAGCTCTGTAGATCATTTACTCAGCTGCTGGGATCTGGTTTTAAAAGCCTCAGTCCAGATGCTCAGAGAGACAAAATACTTCTCACAAGAACATACTGAAACCGAAGGTGTTAGGTTTTTTTGTTTGTTTTTAATGAGTATACTTCATCCTTACATTAGTTAATTCATTTACACAGGATGGGGCAGGGTGTCTAATTACTGTTCTATTCACTGTTAAGCACCATTACTGCCCAGAGAGCTGTGGGTGCCCCATCCCTGGAGATGCCCAAGGCCATGTTGGATGGGTCCTGGGCAGCCTGAGCTGGTGGGAGGCAGCCAGCCCATGGCAGGGGATGGAAATGGGCAGGCTTTAAGGTCCCTTCCAAGCTCAACCATTGTATGACCGCATGATTATGCAGAAGGCACAAGTGGCTGAAGACACTGTTGACATCTCTTGACAAAGAGAAACACAAGAGGTGTGTGGGCTGTAAATAGCTAGCAGTACATGCTATGGCATGTCAGCACCACTATCAGCACAAAAAATAGTCTGTCTGAGGGAAAAAAAAAAGTCTACTTCAAAAAATAAAAATAAAAATAACAGTACAGCAACACTCTGCTTTCAGGACAAATTGGAGTTGCTGGAATGCACCTTGCTGCAAAAACACCTTCCAGGCTGGATGTGGCTCTGGACATCCTGGTCTGGTGTTTGGCAACCCTGCACTTAGCAGGGGATTGAAAACAGCTGATCATTGTGGTCCTTTTCGACCCAAGCCATTCTACGCCGATCTGTGCTTGCAGGAACATTGCAAAGCCCCCACCACTCCCACCCCATTCAGCACATGGCAGGGACAGCCATTACAGGTGGTAGTGCTGATACAGGTTGGAAAGACTCTGTTAAGCTCGCTGGTTGAGAGCCCTGCAGTTTGTGTAGATAACAGAGAGCTGTGACTCCGGACTAAGTAAACAAGGATGTTCTACTGAGTCTTCGTAACAAGAAAATAGGGATGTTCTCTTTGGAATCACTTCAACTTAAGCCTTAAGAGCTTCCTAATCAACTGATTTACGGCATCGCTGCCACCGCTCCCGCACCACTGAACCCATTTCCACCCCACACCGCTAAACGACGACTGCAGGCGGTTCAGCTCAGCACAGCGCTCAGCTCACGGCCCGGCCGCGCCCCGCCCGCACTTACACCCAGCAAAGGGCCGCGTCCCAGCAGCGTCTCCCCCGGCGGCAGCGCTACGGGGCAGCCCCCGTCACACGGCGCCAGCCGCACGCCCGCCATGCCGAGCTCCGCTCCCTCACGTCGCCCCGCCCCGGCCGCTGTTGGTGTTTAAATCCCTCCCGGCTCCGCCCAGCGCGGCCGCACGAGCCCGGAAGTTGTAGTCCGCCACCGCGGCCACCGCGCCCCGCCGCCGCCTGACGCGCGGCTGGGAGAACTACGAGTCCCGGCACGCCTTGCGGCAAGGGCCGCGCGCATGCGCCGCGAAGGTCGCCGTGTTTGTCAACGAGGCGCGGCGCTGATGGCGGAGGCGCTTCCAAAGGCGGACAGGTACGGCGGCGCGCGGCGCCAACGGTCGGGCTGCGGCCGTCAGCGGCTTGGCGGGAACGGGCCGTCCGGTCAGCGCCGCGCCGCAGCGCACCTGCGCTCAGGGCCGGCTAGCGGCGGCCGCGGCTGAAAGGGTGTGGAGGGAGACAGCAGCGAGGGACAGCCGACGGCACTGCTTCGTCAGCGGGACGGCAGCCGTAATTCCACACAGGCGGCGGTAGTAACGTGCGATGCTCGTTAACTGTCGCGCTTTCCTCACTCAGGCGCGCCGACCTGACTCGTCGAGAGCTCTGAATGATGCAGAAGACGCCCAAAAGAAACAAGCAGTCGCTGACTCGTGGCGAACCGACGCTTCTCCCTCGTGACAAGAAGAGGAGAGGAGCTGCGGCTGACTTTGTGGCGCTCCTGCCTCCCGAAGTCAGCGTGCGGATCTTCAGCTCGCTCGATCCCCGCAGCCTGTGCAGCGCCGCGATGACCTGCAGGCGCTGGCGGCTCGCCATCGACGGCAACGACTGGCTGTGGAAAAACCACTGCTTAACGGTGAGGGCCGTTTGCCAGCGGGAGATCGATGTTGACAGGGGAAGCGGATATTCGTGGAAGGTAAATGGAACGTGAGTGCCGGTGGCGGCAGCTTTGAAGCTTCTGGGGTTCGTGGCAGAAATACGCAAATAAATTATATAAATCTGTGTTTTCTCATCTGTCCAAAGCTAATGCCAGATGCTTGGAGAACCACTGTAATGCCAGCGTGGCTCAGCAGTGAAACCAAACTGGGAATCCAGTGAAATATACACAAACACATCTCCTATCACCCTGTAGAACTGTCTATGTCATTTTTCTATTTCCAATATCTTCTTTCCTACACCTCCTTTGCTTGCTCTATGATTTCTAGTTAGTCCCAAGATCACCAAAGCAAAGTGGCTGGAAAGCTGGCTGAATGTGAGCCAGCCCTGCAGCCAGGTGGCCAAATAGCATAGCCTGTCTGTCTGACAGTAGTATGAGTTCTTGTTGTGCTTCATTGGGATGATGCTGCCTGTGAAGAAAAATTTGCTGAAAATTAATTCCAAATAGCTTTATCTCAATACATTTTGAGCAACACGCATCCAGGAGGAAGAACGTGGGGTAAGCAAAAAGAAAGAAGGAGCTCACAGGAGCTTGCAGATGCTGTTTTGGAACAACCTACACACACATAGATACATTCCTGGTTCTGGTTGCTGGATGTGCTGAACACTGTTGAGTCCAGCCTCCAAACTGAAGTAGGTCAGGAAAGGAATGGTTTCGCAGTTATTCTTCTGACCTTGCTAGAGAGAGATCCGCACCCTATTTGAGCTGGTGCATTTGCAAACAGTAAGGTGTGTAAAGAAAGCAAGCAGAATATAAAAAATAGTAATTAAAAGAATTCTGGACTCATACTCCCTGCCTTAAGCAGGAAGGCGGTGACCTCCAAATGTAGCCATCTTTCACCACTTGCACAAATATATATTTTGTTTCTATTTTAGAGAGGGAACGAGCAACAAATAGACAAAGCAAGCATTTCATGCACTAAAAGGTTGGTTGAATAGAAGAATACAACCAGCCTGCATTATGAGCATGAGCCAGACTTAAAGGTCATAAAAAACCTAAACAGGAAGAGAAAGTGAAAGGGTTTTTGTTTTTTGGTTTTTTTTTTGAAGAATAAGGAGGAAGATGAATTCTTGTTTATAATTTTCATTTCCCCATCATTTTCAACCTCTAAGAACTGAGGCAAGAAATGATGTTCAATCTAACTTAGAAAAGATGGAAGTAGACCCAAGTCTCCTTCTTGACAGTACTACACCATTTAGGGCTTGGCATTCCGGTATCAAAGACACATTCCAAATCCTTTTTCTGGCACTAACTCTTTCAATGCAAAAAAACTTATTCATATTGAATGCAGCTTAATTCAATTTACTTCCAAGATTTTAGCTGTCTGTTTTTCCATCAGATCACGTTACTAAGAAACTACTGGAAAAGCAAAGTAAAACAAGAATGGCTCAGTGGAAAATACAGTAACATTCACTCACAAAACAACTTGCCAGAGAAAAGCATGTATCCGATGGATGTTGACACATGGGGAGAAATCCTGGAAGCAGAACTAGAGAGATGAAAAACCACTGCTGCTGCTTGCAACTCAAGAACCTTACATCAACATATGGACTGCTGGCCTGTAAATATTTTACTGTTTAAATTAGACATATTTGCAAACATACAAAGAAAGCTTCACAGAAAAAAAAATATGCAAATAACTTTTTACTTGCACTTTATCAGATTGACTGATACAAAAAGTGAAATTCTAAATAAGACTCATAGTCTTATTCAGTATTCAGTAGTAATTTCGTGTTTGTAAATTTAATCTTCTGTATTATATAAAGACGTTGATTGTACTTTCAGTTTGCACTTTTTAAAAAAAGATTTGTAAAAAACTATAAGTGTTTGATTCAATGTGTATTGTATCAGCAGCATGATGTGGGAGTTCACCAAGGGAGGCCGGGCAAGGACAAATAGCAGACATTGGAAAGAAGAGGACGAGACAGCCACCTAGTGGCTCAACATGCCAACATCTGCGTGAAGGGACAGAGCCTGCACGTGTGGAGGTGTTGGTGCTGAGCAGCACTGCATTTCTACTGCCCAGCCCTGGGACTTGTGAATGAGGACTCGCACATCAGGGCAACCAGCAGGGCTGAAGCAGCCACTTTACTATCAGCCTCTCCGTGATCAGCTATGCACGTCTCATTTCTATAGAAGGCAGTGAAACAGGGAGTAAAACAAGTTCCATTTATTACTTTGAACAAAGTAACTATGAAAATAAAGTTACCTCACGCAGTCATACTCTTAACTTTCTCTGTGTTGTGATCTCCCATCAGACAGATCCTGATTTACCAGCACCGATCTTTGCAGTGACTTCAAAAATTGCTGCTAGTATAAGAGATGCCCATTGCATTACTCAACATAAAGAATGACTGCAAGATCACTTTCTTACAATTTGGTTTGAGTGTCACCTTTCTTTACCTACACTTTTGCACTAAAGAGAAATTAGAAAATGGTGGGAAGGCCCCTAATTTTTATTTTTTTTTTGTAATGCCTAAAACAAGTCACTGATGTGGAACCTATTCAATATAGAAAGAGTTCTACCATGCCTAGAAACACAGGTAATGCAAAAGCATTTCAAATTGACGAGGTCCGGCCCTTACGCGCAGTGGTGCCCAAGAACACAAGATGGAGCACTAGAGCAGCTTTGTTGGGGAAAAGTAGGTATCATGGTTGCCTGGATTAAGACATTGTTTGTTGGATGGTGGTGGAGTTTTAACGAACAGTTCAGAACTCTTTATAATTTATGTGTATTTATTTTTTCACAGTTCTTTAATATCTAGTGAAAACATATTTTTCAGGCTCACAGCTGTTTTTTTGTTGTTGTAGGTGCCTTTATCTGGAAGGCAAGGAAACACAGAACAGCCAGGTGAAGACCACAGTTTTAATATGCTTCCAAGAACAATATGTTGATTCCCTTTCTAGTTAGGAGCATTCCACAGACTGACCCACTTCCCTCAACCTCCTATCTTTTATCTTTTTTAATGGATGCAATGCTTAAAGTTCACTGAACCTCATGCTATCACACTGCCACCACAGACACAGCTCAAGTGTAACTCAGAGCAAAGAATATTGCTAAGTACAGTGGGTGTAGCGCAAATTTCAATGAACTGCAAACACCACTTCCTTTATTATTAGCTATTCTGCCCTAAGATTATACCTTGTTACCCAATGAAAGAAAAAGAAACCAACATAAGTTTTTCCACTGAAAATACTGCATCACACCCTATTCACTATATTTTCTACTCTAATTTAGAGAGACAAAAATTGAAAAGACGCACATAAATTGAAAAGAATGTGCTGTTAGTATTATTCTCATCACCTCAAGAGTGCCCAAATTATTAACTGCAGTACAGGAGAAATGCACAATAATGGACCTAATCCCTCACCTTTCTTCTCACCTGGCCTCCTCCTATTACTTTCAGCTGTTTTTCACTTCTTGCTGCCCATTTCCTCCACATCAGCCATCAGTTTCTGTGTATTTGTCTCAGGTACAGCAAGCACTTAGCTGTAGTGCTTCCCCCATTCTCTTATGAGTTCAGGAATTACCAGTCTTCATCATGCCTCTAACTTTGTCCACTTCGGGTGGCTGTGCCTTTCTAAACACATTAAAAGTTAAAAGCACTCAGCTACGCAATTAGACAAGGCCTCACTCTTTCAACATGCTTTTTCTTTCAGTGAGTACAAGTTACTATCAAAACAAGCATGATTCCTCTCCCCTCTTCAAGCTCCTCTTTGAGGGTTTTAATTCCCTTCAGAAATGGTTTCATCAGTTTTGGTCTTGTTTTCCCCTCCCTACCCTTATACCACCTGCTCAGCTTGCAGCCCAATCAAAGGCTGACTGTACTCTCCTCTTCCCTTCAACGTTATCCCAGCAGCATCCATAGCTCCAAACAGCAGCACTTGGTACACCACCAGCTGTGTTTTGCACCTGCCTCTTCACCCCCGTAGCTTCAAGCAAAAATGCTGAGTCGACTGCAGTAGGAAGAACATACCAACACATACATACCTACATTATTATTAGTGCTTAGGTATCCCTCCCCAGAGAGCAACCTCAGCAAAGGCCACTCATGCAGAAGTCATCTACCTCCTGTAGATGCACACCGGCTATCCTCACATCTGGGTGGCTGGGAAGCCCTTTTTCTGCTTCAGTACCAAGCTCTCTTACCCATAATTTTGAGGAAGTGGAGAGTTCTATTCAGTATGCTCCACCTACTTTCC